TCACGGATTGTGTCGCAAATCACGAGACCTGCAACACTTTTTATCTTAGTATATACCGAAGATCTTACAGATCTATACTCAAGATCTTATAAATCTGTACCTAAGACCTTATGAATCTGTACCCAAGATCTAATTCAAGATCTTGGTACAAGATAATAGTATTATCTTGTACCTAAATTTTCAAGATCTGTTCACTTTTCTGTACCGAAGATCTTGACCAAGATCTTGCTTACAAGATATTCGACTAGGGAACGCTTTGTGTTATTTGCACACATAGATATATGAAAATTCAATACACTTCTATTTCTTGTTTTATTGTTTGACATTTCTTCCTACATGCATATCTCTACTAACTAATTCCTGTGTGCTCTGTTATGTACTTGCAGTTCAGTCTTCTTCTCTTAGCTCTTTGGCTTTATAGTAATATTATAAGTTAAATAATTCATACAAATTATTGAAAATCAAATATGAATACTTATCAATTATGTTAATATGATTTTAATATAAAAAAAACAAATTTAATATTGGTAAAATGTTAAAAACAATGCAATGAATCTATCGAAATAATGAAACTGCAAAAGTAAAAGCAATAATCGAAGTAAGTTTTATATCGTTTATTTATATAAATTATTCAATCAAATCATACATATACAGAAGGATTAGTAGAACTTATTGTTCTTGATCAAAGAATGTCCTTTTAAATGACTAAAATCTTGCGGATAATTCAATTAGACGAGTTTCTATTAACGTTCAACGTCCGATACACTTATCCTAATAGGATTTATCTACTCTACAAATTCTCTGTTTATTAATAAGATTTAAACTTAATAATAAAAAAAATCTCTCAGGAATGTTGCCTACTGAAATGTATAAGGTCAAGGAGAAAACAAAGAAGACTACAGTCTTGAAATCTCATCAAATCATCTGAAGTTTATCGTTTTGTGAAATACGATCTAAAAGAAGGGTTGAAGTGCAGGGCGAAAAAAATAGATAAAATAAAGCAATCCTCCTATGATTACCAATAGCAGCTACATCATGTTTCACATTTTAATTCTACATCGATTGTGCTATCTAATTGCCTCTATTCTTTTCATAGATGCAATTTTAACTGAAATAATTCAAATTTATTTCAAATAACAATTGATGTAAGCATAGAAAAAAACCTTACAATAGGAAATATACATGATTTCTAATCTTATATATATCTTTCATGTTGTATTTTATTTTAGAAAATAATACATCGATTATAAAATTAAATTAATTAATCGTATGTAAAATACCAGATGGATCTTATGCTTGCTTTTAAAATTATTTATATATGTGTACTAATCACATGCTTATATATATCTAATCATTATCTGCATATTGTACACATGATAAATGGACAAAAAGAGTGATGATTTGAGAACTGGCGATTATATTAAAAAAAAAAAAAGAAAAAAAAAAAAAAGAAATTCAATTATTTTTATTTTGAAAATTTAGACTTTCAATCGAGAGGTTCAAAGTGAAGATACACATCTAAATACATTACGTACTAAATATAAAACATTCTCATCGAATTTAACTGATCAAGAACGACAACAAGCAGAAATAATGATTAATAAAATGCAAGTAGATTATTTTATTTTATTTAAATCTCCAAAATAATAATAATAATAACACCTTTATAATAGGTTGAATTAGAACAATTACAAGAACAAATCGAAAAACGTCATGAACGTCTAAATTCTTTAATTCATCAACGTCAAGAATTAGATCAAACATATGATCGTTTTATTATTTGGTTTGAAGATAAACAACGTTTAATTTCTCCTGATCAAACAATACCATTAAAAACAATGGAAATTGAACGATTATTAAAAAAATATAGTGTATAATAATTAAAGTTTTATAAAAATTTTCATTGATTTCATTTTTTAATTTAGGATGTATTGAATGAAATTAAAGTTCAACGAAGTACACTTAATAATATTATTAAATTAAATGAAAATGTCAAACAAAGTTATTATTATGAAGATAAAACTGATTATAATCTTCAACAGATGGTTTGTATTAAGATACAAATTTCTCTATTTTTTTTTATAAATTTCTTTTTTATTTGATAGAATTAATTCGTAGAATAAATAATTTAGAAGAAATACTTAATGATCGTTATCGACAATTAAATTTAGCTAATGAACAACGATATGAATTTGATCGAATTATGACTAAACTTAATGAATGGGTTAAAAGTATTGAACAACAAATAAAAGATCCATTTACAAATGATCTTCAACAAACAACTAATGTTCTTAAAGAAAAATCTAAAAATATACAAGTATGAAAACATTTCTATTATCTTAATATACAAATTGAGTTATAGAAATTTTGATAGACCGAAAAAAATGAAAGTTGAGTGGTATATTTTTTTTTATTAAATCTTTTTAGAAGAGTCTTCATTGGAGATAATAAATGAAAATAATTTAATACTATGTAATAGGATTTCGTTTTCAACACCTAGAAAATTTCTTGGCAGCCTATATCATAGTTTGAATTTATGAGAAATTTGCATACATGATTCGATAATAATAGAAACAGTTCTCTATCTACTTGTATTAGAATGAAAGAATGAATATAAAAATGTGAAGACCAAACAATTTTTTTGTTGAACCAGTGGGGCAAAAACATAATCTAGTACTAATTAAATGAGCACTACGTATTTTAGTGAATAGAGACAAAAAGTCTAACTCTAAATTTCGAGTTTAGATGTCAACCTCACTTCTTCGGATCCCCTCCTCTCTGTGTAATTCGTTCCTGATTGTATTAGTGAACTAAGACTTCTATATGTGACCATTCACGCATATTTCATCCGCGTAGGCAAAGTCGAACTCGAAAGTCTTAAAAAAAGACACAGAATATTTTAGACGTCGAATTCGTACATCTCGGCTTTGGCGTGCTTTTTCTCGAGTAATCCAGTTTCTTTATTGCTTTCGCAGCCAATCAGATTTAATTAAACTTTTTTTTTTTATTCTGTTTTGTTTGATCAGTTGGATTCCTTGGATGAAGTCTTATTGATGAGCGTGAAAAGGATTTGATTGGCTGGGGAAAAGTCATGAAAAAACGTGATTGGTAGAGCAGAAACATAGAAAAATCTGATTGGCTAGAAAAAAAACATGAAAAATTGCCATTGACTAAGAAAATAACACGAATGTCGTTGTTTTCCTAGCCAATAACGCTCAAAATAATAATTGGAATACCTTCAATCGCGAAAACCGACTTTCACTTTAGTCAATAGTATTGAAATACAGTGCTTAAGTGATCCTTCAAATGAATATTTACGTTCAACTACACGGATACACAACAACCCAAGGAAGTCTCTCAACTAATTAAATCGCTTTCGAGTCGAGACGACATACATTATATACATCAGAGATGTCCATAGCGGCGGTGGCGGTGACGGCAGCGGCAGCGGCAGGTTTTTTTAAAAAAATCACCGCGGCAGCGGCGCGGTGGCGGTAGATGTTTTAAAACTCATCGCGGTAGCGTCAGGTTTTTTAAAAAAGCCATCGCGGCAGCAACAGCGTTGTTTTGGAGGACATTGAAAAACTGCATGAATATAATAAAATTTCAGAGTTTACAAATGAAACGCTCCAAGACTGAATGAATCTGATGGACTAGTGCCAATATTTCTGGTCAAATATAGTCGCAGCAGTGAAACTAGAAACACTTTTTTGAAAACCGTCGCGGCGGCGGCACGTTTATTTTACAATTCATAGCGGCAGCGGCGCGGCAACTTTTTTTTTACACGTCATCGCGGCGCGGCAGCATTTTTTTAATAAACCGTCGCGGCGCGGCAGCGGCAGCTTTTCAGCCGCGATGGACATCTCTGATATACATCTCCAAATGAGCTATGAGTGTCCTGAGAAGTACAATGGTCGCCTCAGAAACACTAGGAAAACTTATTTTCGAATTTTCATTTGAAACTTTGTATGGAGACAGACCTTAATAAGAATAGTTTCTTGTGAAAGATTTCAGATCTTTTTCTTGTTCCTATCCTAAGATACAGCTATGATAAAAGCGTGTCTTTTATATCAGTCATATACGCCAGTAGATTCGATCTTCTTATTTCAGAATGGAAGTAAATTAAAAGATTTAAAACTTCTACAATAAACTACTCTCATGAATAGAGAGCTGCGGGTCCTTCCAGACCCGATCGGGTCCGGGTCCAGAAATTTTATTATTGTCGGGTCTGGGTTCGGGCCCGGTTCCCATATCTAGATTTCAGTTTAGACCCGGTTTGTATTAATTTGTATTTAGTTGTGACTCTGAAGAGAACCACGTGAGAGAACATAGAAAAAATAAGTTTTTCTTGACATTTTTCCTTAGAGTCGCCAATAAATAACTATAATATTAGTTTTTATATTTAATCAAGCACATAAAAAACACGAAATGTTACTGAAAAAAATTCGGATCTGGACCCGACCGGATCTGCGTCTGTGTTTCACCGGGTCCGGGTCCAAAAAAACGTGGACCCGCAGCTCTCTACTCATGAAGTGCTTGTCTCTATGCAAAGTTTCAAATCGAAATTCGAAAATCGATTTTTCTTGTGTTTTTGGATGATTTCACAGCAATCATTAAAAAAAATACCGTAAAAATGTAGTATCTACACAGTAATCAACTAAGGACACGAACTCTTTTCAGGATATTCATAGCTCATTTAGATCTACATAGAACCCGTCGGGTCTAGGGTCGGGATCAGTCCGACAGGCTATAGTCTATATAATGCATGTAGCCTCGACTCAAAAGCTACTTATCCATTGGTGAACTTTCCTTTCTATAAATGAAATCATGCATTTTCAATTTTTTAATCTCTCTCGATAATTTAATTTATATTTAGACTTTATTTCAATCAACAAGAGATCGTATGAATGAGTTTGAAAATTTAACACATATTCATGACATTATTGCATCGACACTGAATGATGCTGAATGAATAACATTACATGAAAAATATACCGTACTTAAAGATAAATATAATCGTTTATTAGATAGTTTAAATCAACGTATTGTTCTACTTGATGAAGCAATTCGTAAGTTGAATTAATAAAAAAACGACAAGACTTTATTTTTGTTTTTATTCTTTATAAGATGAACGAAATGAATTCGATAGACAAAATGATCATCTTCAAATACTTTATAAACAATTAGAAAATAAATTTACAAAACAAAAACAACTAAAACTATCGGATATTAATTATCCATCAAATGAACAACGTTTAGAACAATTTAAACAATTATTAAAATATCTTGATGAAACAATAAATAATTTTAAAGAAGTAATACGTATACAACGTTTATTAACTAATAAAGGTCATCGTATTGATTTTCGTATTGGTGGTGAATTAAATGCAAATTTAAAAAATCTTGATGGACAAATACATAATGAAATAGAACGAATTGAAAGAGCTTTACAAATTGAAAATGATTTTCATCATTTAGATAAAGAACTTGATTCATATTTACAAATATCTTCGGAACAATTAAAATCATCTCAACATCATCAAGATAAAGGAATTATTTTTCAGGTCTCTTTTATTATTTTTCAATTTTAAAACTGAAATAATTTCTTTTCAAGACTATTTTTGATCGTTTACAACAAGCTGAACATGAATTAAATAAATTAATTCAACTTAGTGAACGTCTTATTAATGATCTACCTCGTTCAAAATATGAACAATTAAAACGTATTATTGAACATCGTCAAGAACATCTTCAAACATTAAATAAAACATGTCAACAAGCACGTAGTGAACATAAACATATGATTAAAACACAACATAGATTAAATGAAGATTTAATAATAATTAATGATTGGTTTAGAAGGCTTATACAAGATTTAACTCAACCACTTGAACTTAATTTATCATTAAATAATGTTAATGATCTTCAAGATTCCATGAATGTAAATTTTATTTAAATAATAAAAAATATGAAAAGTTGTTTTGTTTTTAGCAACTTGCAATATCAATAAAACAACGTTTAGTTCGTATTGAACAAGCTCTTCGTGATGAGCCAAATCTTATTAGTTTAAGTGATGTAGAAATTCGAGAACGATTAAATACTGTCGAACAACTTAAATATCAAGTTAAAGTAATTGATCTTTTTTTTTGGAAACTAAAATTATAAATCCATGTATATAGAGTCATCTTAATAAACAACGTATTATTCTTGATGATATTCATCAAGGTATTACTCAATATATTAAACTTACGAGTGAAGTTAAAACAGTTATTTGGTATGATAAAATTCTATTTGATCAATTAATTCATTTGTTTTGATTAAGGCGGCTGACTGCACGAAGTGTAGTCTGCCGACTTATTGCTTTTCACTCGGTTAGTTGCCATGGCAAATTCTTCTTCTTCTTCTTCTTCTTCTCGACGCATGAGTCACGATTCAAGTCAGCCACTCGTTCTCAGCTTCCAAGCATCATTTTGATTCGGAAAAAAGTTTGGCGAGATCGTGAGAAGGTGACGAGTGCACATCTGAAATCCGTTTTTTGAAATTCGGCACCGTTCGGGAGATATAAACAATGTCAAAAATGATAATTAACAGCTGATAGTTTCCTTATATGGTTATGCATGATCCAATCTTAGATGACCATTCATATCTAAGATGTCAAATGCATATATATTTTAATTATCGTCTTGTGCGACTTAAAATCGTTCACCACGAAGTCTTGAACGTGTAGAAACTAGATGGTATTCGAGTTTCGACTCGAATACGAAATGCGGTGCGAAGCACAGGTGTGCAGAATCTGAAAAAAGAATTTCGAATCGAAATCGAATAATCGTTCTAAATTACCATCGGAATTCGTTCTCACATTCTACAACAAAGTTCCAAGACAATCGAAGTTGTTTCTGAGTTAGGAATGATCGATAAAAAAACATTTTTATCAAACAACAGGTCTAAGCTAGATCCAACATGAAAGACATCTATTATAAAATTCATCACTACAGAAACTCTACCAAACCGTATCGACAGACTTCTAGAAACCGTTTTTTATTGATCCATTAATTATGTCAATGATTCATTATCTACTATCAGCTGTATTCACAGCTGTTTGACATATTGAGAAAAGTGAGTGGCGCCTAACTTTTTTTTAATGCGGTGTGAAGCACAGCATTTATGTAGTCCGTCGCGAGTTTACTTTTTAATGCGGTGCGAAGCACAGCATTTATGTAGTCCGTCGCGAGTTTTTTATTTGGTGCGCTGCCTAGCCGTTATGTTGTCCTTCGCGANACATCATTAAAATCATATAGTAATCGAATATCATCTACATCAACAACATTTCATATATCTGATCAAGATGGTACAATCCAAAATTTACGTCATATGCTTGATCATTTATCACCATCAATTGAACAATTAAAATTAAAATCGAAATCAATTTTAACTAATTCGCAATAATATAATCGTGTTTTACTTGAAATGAAAAAAATTTGACGTGAAGCTGAAGCAGAAATTGATTGAATTGAAATAAGTGTCATGAATGTTGAAACATGAAATGAGTATCAGAAAAGCACAAGTAAAATATACAAAGATTTACAACTTTTTTTTTTTTGTTAAAAAAATTAAACTTTCTTAAATCAGACTGCTAAAAAACTAATACATACACGAACAATGTATTTTGTTTTACTAATCAGTAAGGAATATAGACGATCATTAAGTAATCCCTAGTCGAACATCTTGTAAGCAAGATCTTGGTCAAGATCTTAGGTACAGAAAAGTGAACAGATCTTGAAAATTTAGCTACAAGATAATATGATTATCTTGCACCAAGATTTTGAATTAGATCGTGGGTATAAATTCATAAGATCTTAAGTATAGATCTGTAAGATCTTGGTTATATATTAAGAAAAAAAGTCTTACAGGTGTCGTGATTTGCGACACAATCCATGATATGATTTGAAAGCGTGGTTCAAATCTATTGTATAGCAGTTTTTTCTGCAAAAGCATGTTATGAAATTTTTTCTATTTATCTTTATTTTAATTATTCCTGTTCCGAATAATTGAAGCAAGCCCAATCTTGGAACCTGTCTGTTCTTGAGATGATTCAGTCACCATCAGACGGCTTCAGGTAGTCCTCTCTCCATCTGCGATCGAGATCGGCATTTTCTCGAATGATTAATAGTCGAAAAAGAGTTTAGAAAAAAAATTAATTAAAAAATGTAGGCTTCGTATGTTCAATCCCGTTGTTTATATACGGGTCTGCATGCAGAAAAGAACAGTGAATGACTAGTCAATACATAAATATTAAAGATATCGTTCTTTTACTCAAGATCTTGTGACAAGATAGTAGTAAACGATATCTTTTCCATGATCTTGACAAGATCTTAGACACGTATGTATCTGATGTGCGCAAACTGTTCACATATAAATTATCTTTTCATGATCTTGTCCAGATCTTCCTTATCGGTCCCAAGATTTCAAAATCTTGCTTGCAAGATGTTCGACTAGGGATGTTATTTAGTATTAATGATTTGAATTTTATGACTATTAACTAGTTTAATTTGGTAAAATCAATTAAGATCAATTAAACGATCTCTTTATGAATAAATAAAGACTAATGCTACTAAGCGGCTAAAAACTGAAGGATACTATAACCAATTCAGTTAATAAGTGCCTCTTAATATGAATCAATACTAACTAAAATATTTAATTAACAGTAATTAATACTAATTAATGATAGTAATTCATCCTGATTGGAAAAATATATCACATGTATACAATTTTATTATTCAGTATTAATAACTATCATTAATTAGTATTAATTAATACTAATTAATCGTATTGCTTGAAATGATAAATCATATCTTGAAAACTTGATCAGAGACTTCGATAAAACTATTATTTTTAATAATGTAAAGTCTTAAAGAAATTCAATTTCATTAGGAATATTTACAAGCAATGGAATCGCATCGACATGATTTTGATCAAATAACAGTTCATGGTCATCATTTATCTGGTCAATGTGATGGACAAATATCTTCGAAAATCAATGAAATAACACATCATATCGAACAACGATAGACAACTGTTCAACAGAGTTTACAAGAAATAATTAAATCATCATGAGAAATTGTTGATATTTGGAGACAATTAAACAAATCAATATTCTGAATTATAAAATTTTCAAAATAAACTTTTAACTGATTATAATGAATTAAAATATCGTGAAAAAATCTATTTAGATTATTTAAATGAACTTATACAAGCTATTAATCAAGCACAAGCAACATTTAAATCACAAAAATTCCCAGACGAAAATGAAAATTTTGATTTAAAACAACTTCAAGAACTTGATAATCTTCTACAATCGAAACGTAATCTTATTGAATGTTTAAATTCAAATGAATTTATTTCACATATAAAAAGATTGAAATAAATAAATATAATAAATTAAATTTTGATAAACGTTGTCAAAAATGGAATGATTATATTCAATCTATTGAACAAAATTTATCTTTTATGCAAGAAAATATTCATACAAATTATTATGGTTTTATTGAAATTGATACAAATTTATCCAATACTATTAATGATTTTAATCAAAGACCATAAAAATTAATTAATGAAGGTAAACAAATTATTAATAATCAAAATATTTTTATTAAACATGAACAATGTTGGTAAAATATAATGAAAACTGTTTTAAATAAACAGAAAGAAATAAAACCATATCAAAATTATTTAAGAAAGTATTAATTGAATTTTATTAGAAATTTCTTTTTGCAATTCTTTTATTTCTTAGATTATTATCGTTTATTAAAAGTAAATGTGAAATAGAACAAAAAGAATTACAAACAGCAACTAAACCCCTCCCCGCATTAGAAGACCCCTGGTCTTCTATTATGTCTCGTCATAGAAATTTCTCAGAGGGGTCTTCTATTATGTCCTAGGTTTTTTACCAATTATTAACTGAAAGTAGTTTTCCAGAAATCCGAGGCGATTTTCAAGATTCTTATAGGGATTTTCACGGTTTTGAGGGTCGACGGATACATTTGGACTCATTTTCTAAATATTACCAGCTGAAGAATCTAAAAACTGTACATTCCTGGACGAAAATTCCCTAATTAAAGTTCTTAATTAGCAAATAATTAATTAATTAAAGGGAGGTCTTCTAATACGCCCGATGAACTTTTTGTCCAGGGGGGTCTTCTATTATAGGGGAGTCTACTAATATGGGAGGGTCTTCTAATACGGGGAGGGGTTTA